CACATGCTAGCAGCTCCCAAATCAATACCTTTGTCCTGACTTCTGCTAAGCAACAGATCCGGGCGAGTATTTCAGATTCAGTGTGGGAAACAAAGCCTTCTAAGGAGGACCACCTTGCTCTGTCTTTCACAGCTCGGTGAGGCTGGAGTGCAGCTCATAGCTCATAGCTCACTGCAGCCTTGAGCTCTTGGGCTCAAACAATCTTCTCACCTTGGCCTTCCGAGTAGCTAGGATGACAAGTGCAGCACCACCACACCCAGATAATTTTTTTATTTTTTTGTGGATATAGGGCCCAACTGGCTGTCTCCCTTCACTGACCCTGGGCTGTGAGCATCGTAGGGACAGGGCTGTGGCTTTGTTCTCTGGGTCCTCGGAGCCCAGCACAGAGGAGGGGCTTGGGGAGCATGCATGGGCAGTTGCTTCTGGAGGGCAGATTTCAAAAAAGTGTAGGGAAAGAGATAGGACTTTTTAAAATTTCTTTGTAGTAGCAGATTCTAAAAAGAAGTCAGGTTCAGGTGGGCTGGGAGACCCTGCACTAAAGGAGTATGGATTGCAAGTGAACCCAGTGAGGAAAAGGGGGAAAATGTCTAAAGACTGCAGAGGCTACACCTAGAGCTCATGCATGATCTCAGGTTTTGAAAGACACGGAAGATAGAAGGGTACAAAGCAAGGCAACTGGACGAGTGGCATGGACCAGTGGTAGTATGGTTGGGAAATGCTAAGAGCCATAAAAGGGGCTTCTGTGTAGTTGTTTTTGAAGCAAGGAGTGCTGTTTTGGGCTGACAGTAAAATGTTAACACTGACGAATAGAGAGCAGCACCGCGTGATTCCTATTTTGCTTCTGTCTTCTTTGTTGAGAATAATTTTCACCTGAAATCCAATATTGGTCGGAGGGAGTTAAAGCCTAAGATAGCGCAGGAGGCCATACAACAGCACCTCACTGTGCAGATGAGGTTCAGTGCCCTCCAGTGGGAGCATGTCCCACCCCTGCTGGGAGACATGCAGATGGGTGCCCTAACTCCATGGGGACGTGTGGAGGTGGAAGGTTTTTGGGAGATAGGGTGATGGTGCTTGATGTGCCCCCTCAATCCCCTAGGGCACGGTTTGTGAGCACGTACTTAGAAAAGGAAGCACTGGTTTCTACAAGTCCTAAGACTAAATCAGGCCAGGTGCGGTGGCTCACGCTTGTAATCCCAGCACTTTGGGAAGCTGAGGAGGGAAGATCGCTTCAGGCCAGGGGCTCCAGACCAACTGGGCAATATAGTGAGACCCCATCTCTACAAAAAAGAAAATAAAAATATTAGGCATGGTGATGCATGCCTGTCATCCTAGCTACTTGGGAGACTGAGGCAGGAGGATCACTTGAGCCCAGGAGTTTGAGGTTGCAGTGAGCTATGATGATGCCACTGCACTCCAGCCTGGGCAACAGAGTGAGACCCTGTCTCTTAAAAATAAAAAATAGAGAGAAAGAGACTGGACATGGTGGCTCATGCCTATAATCCCAGCACTTTGGGAGGCTGAGGTGTAGGATTACTTGAGGCCAGGAGTTCGAAACCAGCCTGGGCGACATAGACCACATCTCTACAAAATAAAAAATTAACCAGGCATTGTGGCATGTGCCTATAGTCCTAGCTTACTCCAGAGGCTGAGGGGAGAGGATTGTTTGAGCCCAGGAGTTTGAGGCTACAGTGAACTATGATCATGCCATGGTACTCTAGCCTGGCCAACACAGCGAGACCCTGTCTCTTAAAAAAAATAATAAATAAATAAATCATACCAGGCTGGCCTCACTTATTTTTTGACAGGTCAACGGGAACCATGCTCTGGAGAGGACTGTGGGATACATGTATCTAGGTTTTGGTAGGGCACTTGGTAGATCTGTCATCACATCCTGGGGACAACGTGAAGGAACGTGGGCAGAATGATGGTCGAATGAGGTGGGCTGGCCATCAGAGCGCACCCGGAGGGCAGTCCCCTGTGGCACCGGAGTTCCGTCTTCACTGACAGGTTGGCCAGGACAAAACCAGGGTTTTGGATGAGGCCATTAATGGAACAATGGTCAGATTCACAGATGACATGAATACAACTGACAGCAGATTGAAGATCCCAGAAGATCTCAACAGACCGTAATGATGGGCTAAGAGAAAAGAGAAGCCCAGCTGCACAATTAAGAACAGGAGCTGGGAAATGGGATTTGACAGCAAGACGTGTGAAAAAAAAGACTTTGGGCTCAATCTGTTAACTGCATCGCGTTGTGGGGCTGCCAAGAAAATGAGCATCAGCCTCAGCTCCGAGCATCTCACTTGACAGGGAACATTGACAACCCCCGGGCCGTCAGAGGCCCCAAACCAAAATGGCAAATCGCTTCCAAAAGACGGGAACATGGGGCTGTTGTTCCAGCAGAAGGGGCAGCCAGGGGAAGGCAGCAGCTTCCTTCACCGATCAGAAGGCTCCCTCCTGGGGCCCCCAGAGCACAGGATTCAGAAGCTTTGGGTGGAAGTCCCAGAAGAACAGATTTTGGCAAAATGTGGGAACAACTTCCTTTGGTTAGTTCCAATAGATGAACTGGGCTGTCTTGGCAGATTCTGCACTTCCTTTGCTGAAATGAACACTTGTTAGGGGTGTGGCAAAGGGAATTAAATGGATAACTATGCAGACATTAGACTGGTGACTTAGGTGTTTTCTAAGCCTGAGGTTCTACGATTGTATGATACAAAGATAAGAAGAATGGAAAGTGGGTTATGATTGTCTACACGTACCTTTTATTTACTTATACATGCAGGAAAGGACACATATCATAGGTGGACACTCGGTGTACTTTGCAGACACCATCTGTGTACCCCTTGACAGAGCATCAGTTGCTCCCTGGAAGCCTCCTCTGCAGAGGCGGCGGCTTCGCTGACTTCCATCACACAGGCTCACTTGCCTGTCTGCACATTTGTAGATTAATATTAATAGCTTCCTTAGCACAGCGTTTGGTTTGTGGGATTCCTCCCTATTGTTGTGAGTGGTTGTGGACAGACCCCTTGCGTGGTGGCTCTGTGGCCGGCTGTATCCCGCTGCCTCCTCCTGTGCACACTGTATGCCAAACACGTATGTGATGACCAGTCTGGTGGCTGTGGGCTTGCCACCAGGGAGGTTACACCAGCTTCCGAGCCCAGGCCCTGGTTTTCCTGCCTGGGTAGCACACACATGCCAGATAGAGGAGTTCAAGTGAAGGACTGAGGAGCGGGTGGTGTGACAGGCAGCGGATGGATGAGAGGGGCCATGGACAGCCCCAGGGACGCAAGCTGGGCAGAGCTCTGAGCAGGGTGTCAGGCAGCATTTCCCCAGCGGAACAGGCCACTTCTGTTGCTTCCTGAGCTGCCCTAGAGATGTGGAAAAGGCAGCTCATGCCTTTGGCCAGATGCCTGACAGCCTTTTAGGGCAGTGCAGCCTTGGCAGGGCCTGGTTCCCCTCTGAGGGAGCGAAGACAAGGGGATCCAGAGGGGCTGCACTGACCCGTGTCATCACCATGATGTCCCAGCAGCCCACATGGCCTTTGCCTTTGCCTTCCTCCCTCGGTGCCCCTGCAGGCTGCCTGCCCAGCTGCACTTCTAGGAGGCTGGGAGGCAGAGCGCCTGCATTCCACTTCCCGCCTCTGTGCTATGGGTTTGGAAAAGTCATTTCCAAATTTCCCCAGTGCCTTAGGCTCCCTTGAGTGCTAATCCAGTATCCTGGTCTTACAGAGGCCCCTGGTGGGGGGGTGGAGGCGGAGGCTGGCTTGGCCTGGCCTGGCCTGGTGTGAGCGCCAGGGCTGGAGCCTGCTGCCTTATATGACAGTGGCTGGGATGGCTCCAGTGGCTTCCTCATCCTCCTTTGCCTGCCTGGTTTGAGTTCTGGGGAGACTTTGCCAGGTGGGGTCAGGCCTCCTCTAAGGGAGGGAGAGCCCACAGCCAACCTCAGCAGGCCCCTCTGCTTTCCCTCTGCAGCTTGGCTGGTGTTTGGGGTGAGGCTTTTCTTTTTCCCTTCCGTGAAGTAAGTCCTCAGCCTGTAAAAAAAAAAAGTGGTGCCACCACCCCGACTGCGTCCCAGTGGGAACTGAGAATGCAGGACTGTGTTTAAAAGGCAGGGAGGGCCGTCAGGATGAAAGGCCGTGGGCAGGGAGGGGGCTTGCCACTCTCAGACGTGGGTTTCTTTTCATCCATTCACCCCCTTGCTGCTTTTTCTGGTGCTTTTCTTCGTTTCTGGATACGGCCCCATCCTGACCCACCCGGCCTGCCTCTTCCCTTCTGGAACCACCCCCAGCACTGCTCTGTTGGCTCCCCGCACCCCCAGCTCGGCCCCTCCCTGCCTGCTGTGCATAGCGGAGCTCCCGGTGCAGGCCTCAGTTTGGATTAATGAAGCCCAGATGCAGGACTTCTGACTCTGGCTATGGAGCAGCAGCCCAGCTCAGAGGGGCTGTCTACCTCCCACAGTGCTCCTGGCCAGCTGCTGTTGGGCTCCTGTGAACAGCTGGAAAGCTGGTCCTGGCAGAGGCCTGATGGTGGGGGATGGGGAGAAAACTGAAGGTTGGGGCTGGGGGGAAGGTGTGGCCTGCACCCACGGGGGTCTGGCGTGGGGGCCATGGGTCGGGGAGAGCCGGGGATGAGGGGCTTCTGTTTGCTGTCGCATGGTTCAGTCCCAATGGGGGCTGCCTCTCCTCAGCACTCTAGTCCAGGGCACTGGGGAAGGCTGAGTGGGTACACGGTAGCCCTCTGCAGAGAGGCGTCAAGACTAAAGGGAGAGGACATGGTGGCTCACACCTGCAATCCCAGCACTTTGGGAGGCAGAGGCGGGAGGATCGCTTGAGCCCAGGAGTCTGAGGTTAGAGTGAGCTGTGAAACCCAGTGGAGATGTTCATCCCTGAAGAAGCGATATCTGCCACCTCCTGAGTGAGTCAGTTAGGACTGCTCCCCCCTTCAAGCCCACCTGCCTCTCAGATTGTCACACCCTCTCAGGCTTTGTCACTCCTCTCTCAGGCAGCTTCGAAGCCAGCTCAGCCTCATGGTCATTGCCCGAATGTTGGGCCAGGAACAGACACTCCCTCTCTGGCAAGAGAAGACCCAGGTGAGTTTTTGCCTTAGCTGGGGCAGGGAGGCCTGTGGGTGGGCAAAACACTCTCCCCACAGCCTGCTCACTCCCGAGGCTTCTCCCAAAGCCTAGGAGCCTCAGGCCTGGAGAGCTAAGCTGGGTTTGAATTTTCTACACATGTTCTTTCATTCATTAGTTACTGTTTGCATGCTGACCATGAGCTAGGAGCAGGGGGCTGGGAGCCTTTAGTACTTTTTAAAAAATTGTAAAATATACATAACATGAAATTTACCATTTCAACTTCTTTATTAACCATCTTTGTCGTGGGTTATTTTCATTGTTGTTGTTGTTGTTTTTAGAGACAGGGTCTTGCTAAGTCACCCAGGCTGGAGTGCAGTGGCCTGATCATAGCTCACTGCAGCCTCAAATTCCTGGGCTCAAGTGATTTCCCTCCCAAATAGCTGGGACTACAGGCACATGCCACCACACCTGGCTAATTTTTAAATTTTTTGTAGTGACGGGATCTCACTATGTTGCCCATTCTGGTCTCAAACTCCTGGCCTGAAGCGATCCTCCTGCCTCGGCCTCCCAAAGTGCTGGAATTACAGGTGTGAGGCACCACCCCTGGCCCTTAACTATTTTTAAGTGTAGAGTTCAGGGGCCTTCAGTACATTCACGTTGTGCAGCCATCACCACCATCCATCTCCAGAACTTTATCTTTTTCCCAAGATGAGACTCCATACCCATTGAACACTAACTCTCCACTCTTCCCTCCTTCCCAGCCCCTGGTTATATTGCTTTTTATAGGTGGAAAAACAATAAAGATGAAAACAAATACTGTTAAATTAAAACTACTCCTTCCAGTGTCCTTTTGGTCCCAGAGTTAGGCATCCTTGGGGCAGCAAGGACGTTGGAGTTCTGTCTTCCTTCCCTGTTCCTCTTCTCTCCAAAAAGCTCTGATTGCAACCCCTTGGCAGCTCAGAGGCCATCACTTCAGGGGCTCTGGGGGCAGTGTGGGTCACTGCCAGCCTGAGGATGGATGCTCGGGATGGATGCTAAGAGGCCTTTGCGTGCCCCAGGGCCTTTGCACTTGCTATTCCCTCTGCCTGCCCTCACCTCCCGAGAAATCTCTCTGGAATCCCAGAGAGTTGCTGGGTACAGCTGAACTCTCCAGCTCAGCAACACTAGAGGGGCAAGATGCTCCAGGCGGAAGGCAGTGTGCATCTCTAGTTGCTGGAGGTATACAAGGCAAGCCTGCATAACCCCTTGCCCAGCATGCTGGGAGAATGTTCTGGCACATCCCCGGGTGAGGTCGGACAATGACTGCAGGGCAGGAACTCAGAGAGGTGACCAGTTAAGTTGTCAGAGTGCCCTTGGCCTTGCTTTTGCTCCAGTTGCCCCCTTTGCCTTGAATGCTTTCCCCCTAGGACTTAGCATGGCTGGAGCTTCCTGTCATTCCAACTCCAGCTGAAATGTCACTTCCTCAAGGAGGCATTCCTGACCACCCAACCTGAAGTGCCCCAGCACTGCCTATCACTCCATCTTAAATTGCATGTGACAGTCACCTCCTGGTGTTTTCCTATTTGTTCAGCATCTGTGTTCTCCACCCTTCTCCCCCAGCAGAACATAGCCCTGGAGAACAGGGAACAAATGGTTTCCGCTCCCCACTGCCTTTTAGCACCTAGCAGTGCGTGGCACCAGCAGAAAGGCAGTGCACGCTTGTGGAACGAGCAGACACCGAGGTGGATTGTTGGGGCACATGGGGGAGAATGCACCCCAGGCCAAGGCCTTGGGGGGGGTGGCAAGGCAGTGGCCTGCACTGAGGTCACTTCACAGATGGTCCCTTTGAGGAGGGGAGAGCAAAAGGACCAAACGATGTCATGAGGAACACCCAGCGATTAAAAAGGCAGGGCAGCAGAGATGCAATGGGGGGGGCACAAGACAGAGGGACCCTGAGGGCTCTGGAAGGCAGGCATTGGTGTTGGCCAGAGGGGTCACTGAGCCCTGAGGAGCACAGCACAGTGCAGAGTGGGGGCAAGAGGGAAGATGGGAAGCGGTGGCAGTGGGGCAGTCCCCCAGGAGCAGTGTTGGCAGTGACCTGAAAGAGAGAGAGTTGCTTGAGAATCAGGGCCAATTCAAGGCTTGGGGTTTTGCTTTGATTTGTTTTTGCTTGGCCAGAGCCCCTGCAGGGAGAGTGAGGGGAGCATGGTAGGGCTGTGTTCCTGCCGGAGGCCAGAGTGACCGAGGGAAGTGTCAGGAGTACAGGCTGGGTCGCATGGGCCTAAAGGGAACTGCAAGGAGACAAGCAAAAAGGGCATGTTGGTGGCACCAGACATGCCCTCTCTCCCCCAGAGAGACCCTGGCCCAGGAGGTCTCCTCAGCTCCCAAAGGGCTGGGACCTCCTGGAGCCAGGTCCAGCCCAGCCTTTGCAGTTCCCAGCCCCACAGGCTTTTGCACACCCCAGTCGGCCCCCCTGCCTTGCACCCACCATGTGCCGCATGTGCATTAGGCACTAGCTGAGCAGCCTGTGTACCAGGCTCTGCACCAGGCGCCAACAGACGCTGGGGAGACAGCACCCAGACGACCTCAGAAGAAAGGGGTGAGCAAGCTGGCCACAGCCACAGTGACTAACACTGCCCGGGGACAGTGAGGCGGCTTCTAGAGAAGACGACCTGAGCCAGGTCTTGGAGGATGAGTCAGTGCTTGTACTGCAGAAAGGAGAGAGGGAGTGAGAGGTGCATGGCGGCTGGAGGGATGGGAAGGACCAGCAGGGGCCTGCCCATGGCTTTCCTGATATACTTCCCCATCTCACTGCAAGCCCGGGGCTGCTCACAGCCTCCTCCCAGGTCTCTGGGCTGCCAGGCACTCCCCTTTCCGGTCTGGCCTGTCAGACTGATCCTGAAACACGCCTTCAAAGGGCCACCTCGGCCCCACAGCGCCCACTCAAGCCCACATACCCCCTTCCCAACTTCTCAACATGTCTGCCCAGTGCTGCCTGCTCTCCTTGGCCTCCTTGCAGGCCAACGCAGCCTGCCCTATGCAAGCAGCCCTGCTGTGCACTGGCCCTCTCTTCCTTTCCACCTGTCATACCCACCTGCAATAGTGGTGGCTACCACGAGCATAGCACTTGGCTGTGTCCCAGATTCTGTTCTCAGTCCTTGCCCCTCGTAGCAGCCCTAGGCTGTAAAGACTGTTGCTGTCATCCATACTTTACAGATGGGGAAACTGAGACAGGGGAACTTCTTAGGGTCACCCAGCAGGGAAGCAGAGAAGCTGGGAGTCAAGTCTTGCCCTTGACCACTGCAATGTGCTGTCTCAGCCTCTCCAGCCCCTTGCTTGGCTCTTGGCAACCTGGACCACACCTGCCATGTCATACTGAAGATGCCCTGCTGGCCCCTTGAGCTTAGTCCTAGATCACAGACAGGAGGACAAAGGCTGTCCCTTCCTCTCCCTGATCGATGCACAAGTGCTCGATATATCTTATCAGTTGATTCACTGTGAAGAGGGGTGCAAGGGCTGACAATCTACTTGTGTGGGAGCAGAGGACCTGGGGTTAGCTAGGACAGAGCAATTCGCAGGGCACCAGGGGCAGGAGGCATCCCCGATGCCCAAATTGCTTGACTCTGCCTCTCCCACAAGTGGCAGTCCGAGGCCCCAGGATCAGGAGCAGACACTGGAGAACTGAACTTGAGGGACAAGACTTCTGTAGGTAGTCAGGATGCCACAACGCCAAAGCTTGCATTTTCCAGGAAAGTCCCGGGGACAGACAGTGTGTCCTGGTGTTGCTGGGAATCCTAGTGGCCTCAATCCCAGTGGGCACTGAAGATAACGCAGAGCAGAACTGAGTTCCTCCCTCTGGAAACTCACAGTCCAGAGCAAGGCAGACACAGGCATCAAGGAGGAAGTCACTTTTTGGAATACCTGATGGTGATAAGTGCTGTGGAAAAGAATAAAGCTGATGAAAGGGGACTATACGGGTGAACTGAGAATGGGACATTTAAGCGCAGACCTGAAGGAGTCAAGTAGTTTTCTTGGGAAAGAACATTCCAGGCAGAGGGAATAGCAAGTGCATAGGCCCTGGGGCATGCAAAGGCCTCTTAGGTTGGAGGGAAAACAGAGGCCAGTGTGGCTGGAGCAGAGGGCTGAGAGTGAAATAGTAGGAGTTGAGGTCAGACAGGTAAGTGGAGGCTTAGTCAACCAGAGACTCAAGGCCATAGTGAGGGTTTTGACTTTTATGCCAAAGTGGAAAGCCACTGGAAGGTTTTGAGCAGAGGAGAAACAAAGCCTGACTTGTAAACATTTTAAAAATTACTCTGGGCCGGGCGTGGTGGCTCACGCCTGTAATCCCAGCATTCTGGGAGGCCGAGGCGGGCGGATTGTTTGAGCTCAGGAGTTCGAGACCAGCCTGAGCAAGAGCGAGTCCCCGTCTCTACTAAAAAAAATAGAAAGAAATTATCTGGACAACTAAAAATATATAGAAAAATTAGCCGGGCATGGTGGCGCATGCCTGTAGTCCCAGCTACTCGAGAGGCTAAGGCAGGAGGATCGCTTGAGCCCAGGAGTTTGAGGTTGCTGTGAGCTAGGCTAACGCCACGGCACTCACTCTAGCCAGGGCAACAGAGTGAGACTCTGTCTCAAAAAAAAAAAATTACTCTGGCTGCTGTGTTGAGAATAGACAATTGAGAGTGGAGAGGAAGGAGGCAATTGTAGTAATCCTGGCGAGAGACAATAGCAGTTTGGCCTGGGGAGACAGCAATGTAGGCGGTGAGAAGTGGTCAGACTGTAGGTGCGTTTCCCAAGTATAGCCAGTGGGACGTGCATGGGAGAGAGAGGAGACAAGGACTCCAAGGTCTGTGCAACTGGCAGGATGGAGACGCCCTTTACCGAGCTAGGCAAGACACAAGTGGAGCAGGTTTGGGGAGGAAATCAGGAGTTTGTTTCTTATCCCAGGCCACCTCTTGCAACATAGCAAACCTCTTTTGTCAAACCATGTCTTCGTTTGGGGTTTGGAAAACACAGCTTCAAGTGGCTGAAATCAAGGGGGATAAAGGTTTGCTTCTACTAGGAAAAGGTAGCTGCATTCCTGGCTATTCATTTATTCACTCATTCATTTAACAGATGCTTACTAAACATACACCATTGCTGGGCACGGTGCTAGGTTATGGAGCATTGCAGTGGACAGAACTGCCCTCAGAGAGCATACATCCAGTGAGGGAAGGGGCACAGCTGAAAAATAAGAATGGAGTAAATTGCAAAGGCTGTTAGAAGGTGATAAATGCCTTGGAAAGTGTAGGGTAAGGGCATTGGCAAGTGCAGGCTGTAGGGGGACACGGGGAGCTCCGGTGGGCCCGGAGCAAAGGCAGGAAAGGAAGGAGGAGAGGAGCAGCCTTGTGGTGTCTGGTCAGAAGGCCCAGTCAGGGCACTGGCTCCAGGGAGCAGCAAAAAGGTCACTAGGACCACTTGGGGCCTCACAGACACTTGAGATCTTGGCTTCCTCCCCTGGATGAATAGGAGCCGCTGCCAGGACTTGAGCGCAGGAGATACATGCAGTGTGGACAGGTGCCTTTCAGGAAATCAGCCTCAGCCACTGCTTGCGGGCCTCTGACAGGGCTGGCCTGTCTTGCTGGGTGATCATTTGCTTCTTGCCCTAGGTGTCTGCCCTAATGGGCTGAGGCTTTGCAGTGCCGGCTCCCAGCAGTGGGGTGGGTGTGGGGAGGGTGCTGGACTGGCCTCGGCCTCACTGGGACCCACGAGGCCCAATCAAGCCTTTATCCTGGAGAGGGGTTTGTCTGTGGTAGAGACACTAGCTGGAGCATCCTGGGCTGGAAACAAAAGAAAATAAGCAATCAGAAGGCACAATGGCAGAGGCAGATCGCAGGGGCAGCCGCTTGCTGCGCTAAGTACAGCAAAGCTGTTTTCGTGGAGTGGAAAAACCAAGAGCAAGTGAGTAGTGGCTGTCTTGTGCTCCCCTGCCCAGCCCCGCCCAGGCCTCCTGTAGCAGGGAGGGTCCCAGCCAGGCGAGGCCAGGCCGCCGCCCCAGGGCCACGCTAGGGGCGTGGGCTGCAGGGCCTGGCCCCTGTGCTTGCACAGCTGTGAGCCCTGAGCAGGCAGGGCTTTTTGGAAACAATCTCGATTGTGAAGCCTGAGCAAGGCGGCACATCTGTGGTTTTGCTGGAGCCCCAAATGATGCCTCTCTTCACCCAGAACCTTCCTCCTCTTTCTCTGTCTCCTCTCCCCTTCCAAAGGGATCAGACAGTAGGCCAAGAAGCCCTGGCTTCCTTCCAGAAGCCAAGGCCCCGGGCCTGACTCCTACCCCTAGCCCAGCTGCTCTCGTGGGCTAAGCCCATGGCCAGCTGAGGTGCCGAGCAGGTGTTGGCGGGTGAGTCACGGCAGGAAGCCAGGTGTGCCAGCCGGGCTGGGCTTAAGCAGGGAGCTGAGCCAGGGGACTCGGTCCCCTAGCCCATGGCCACCCTGCATCGTCAAGATCTTAAAAGATGGTGCCTCTGCGAGCTACCTCGTATCCTCCCCCACCCCCTGTGCAGCTGGGCAGCCCTTGCTGGGGCTCAAATTGGGCACACGGGCTGGGCCTGAGGGAGTGGCTAGCTGTAGACACCTGGACTTATGCAGGTCACGTTCCCTCCCAAGCCTGTGTGTTCAGTGGGGTTGGGCAGTTTCTTCAAAAACTAAACAGGGGGTGGGGCAGCTAGTGGATGAAGTGACATGTCAAACACATGCAGTGCACGGGCCTTGTGGGGAATCTCCATCTGCACAGACCAACCAGGAGAGGACATTTTTGAGACAGAGCAAACTGAACACAGGTGTTGGTTGGTAATAAGAGATTCTTAGTAATTTTGTTGGGCAAGAAATGGTATTGTGAATATATTGAGGGAAAAAAATCCTTATCCTTTTATGTTAGAAGCTCTTTATGGGTAAAATGATCCGATGTTTGTATTTGCTTTAAAATTCTCTGGAAGGAAAAAGGGCAGGGAAGGGGTAGAGAGGAGGTGAGTGATGAAACAGGCAAGGCCAAATGATGATGAGTGTGGTCATCGCTCATAGTGATGGGCAGCTGGGGACTTAGCACCCATGGTCTGTCCTCTTCTCATATGTTGAATGTCTCCACAGTGAAGAGCTAATGAAAAGAGAGGCACACAGGGGAGAGTGGGCCGCAGAGGCGTAGTGGCAGCTCAGATGGGCAGGGTCCTCTGTGTGTGAGACCCTCCTCTTCTGGGAAGAGGGCATGTGGTCCATTTTACAGATGAGAAGTCAGGCTCTGGGAGACCACACAGCTCATTTTTTATTTCATTTTATTTTATTATTATTATTTTTTTTTTTTTTGAGACAAGAGTCTTGCTCTGCCACCGGGGCTAGAGTGCCCTGGCGTCAGCCTAGATCACAGCAACCTCAAACTCCTGAGCTCAAGCGATCCTCCTGCCTCAGCCTCCCAAGTAGCTGGGACTGCAGGCATGCGCCACCATGCCTGGCTAATTTCTTCTATTTTTAGTTGTTTGGCTAATTTCTTTCTTTTTTTTTTTTGAGACAGAGTCTCACTGTGTTGCCCAGGCTAGAATGCCGTGGCGTCATCCTAGCTCGCAGCAACCTCAAACTCCTGGGCTCAAGCAATCCTTCTGCCTCAGCCTCCCGTGTAGCTGGGACTACAGGCATGCGCCACCATGCCCGGCTAATTTTTTCTATATATTTTTAGTTGTCCGATTAATTTCTTTGTGTTTTTAGTAGAGACGGGGTCTCGCTCTTGCTCAGGCTGGTTTCGAACTCCTGAGCTCAAACAATCCGCCCTCCTCGGCCTCCCAGAGTGCTAGGATTATAGGCGTGAGCCACCGCACCCGGCCCTTTCTTTTTTTTTTTTTTAGTAGAGATGGGGTCTCGCTCTTGCTCAGGCTGGTCTCGAACTTCTGAGCTCAAGCAATCCTCCCTCCTAGGTTTCCCAGAGTGCTAGGATTACAGGCTTGAGCCACTACGCCCGGCCCACACAGCTCATAAGTGAGATGGATCCAGGTCTTGGAGGCAGGTGCTCTGACCCACTGCCGCAGCTGAGGTGTCTGGGCCAAGAGTCCCTGGAGCACCCTGAGCTCTCAGCTGCCACCTTCCGTGAGTGACAGCCTTCCTTCTTCTCCCCAGCTGTCCTCACTCAGCCGGCTCCTGAGCCTCATGAGGCCGTCATCCCTCGGGCAGTACCTAGGCTCTGAGTCCCTGCCACCCTACCAGGAACAACAGCCAAAGGCCAGTGCCGAGCTAGACTACAAGGTGAGCACTCAGCACTGCCTACCTCCCCCAGGGCATTGCCACCACAGGCAGTGGGGGAAGGCAGGACTGTCCACACTGCACAGCCTGTGGGTCCTTATGGCTGCCGGGACAGAGACCTACAGGCTGCCTCCCTGTGTTGAGAGGAGGTGCTTTTCATCTCCCATGGCCTATAATTAGTGCCTTTGCACATACCACTCATACAGGTGTGGGGGATGCCATGTGCATAGGCGTGCGGGCAGGACAGCTGTCTGGCCCTGCTCATGCGCACACTGCAGCCTTCATAGCCTGGCATGGTTTTGTGAGCTGTGGGGCTCTCTGAGGCTCTCCGTTCTTCTTGCAGCACAGTTTCGGAGGGTGCAGAGCTGAAATACTGGCATGGGGGAGGCAGAGGGGAGCATTCAGAGGAGAAATGCAGGGGATGTCTGGACACGAGGGGCATCCTTTCTCCTGGGAGACAGAGCTGGGCCCAGCCTCCCTGTTCTTTTTCACTATGGTTGCCACTGAGGCTGAGTCCTTGGCCTGTCCCCAGTTCTTCTTAATTGACTTTCCAGACATTGCCCTTCTTTCCTGAAAGCCAAGCTTTGACGGGAGTCAGGGGCAAGGAGGTACCACACGGCCTGGAGGTTGTGGGATTTGCAACAGTGAGGCCTATGGGGTCCCTGGAGCGAATGTCAGAGCAGGGGTGGTGGTGGGTATGGGGGTTTCAGAGTCGCATCCCAGGCCCAGCTCCCTGGGAAGCAGGGGGTGGCTCTCAGTGAGCTCTCCTATCCCTGGGGACTCGGGGATAAAGAATGGAGATAGAGATCATCCTAATTTAGGAGGGTGGTAACTCCAAAACTTCACTCAGAGGTTGGATGTTGATAATCCAGGAGTCCCACCTTTGGGCACCACTCTGCAAATCAGATAAACGAATTAATTACTTAATGAACACAAATGAACCATTAAGAAGATATGCTAATCCCCAGGTGCCTGCTCCTCTTCTGGAACATGTAGGGAAGGTTCTTTCAATTGTGCCTAATATTAGTGCATTTATGAGGCTGCTGCCTCCTGGGAGAGTGTGAGCTGTCTGCAGCCCCTTCTCCTCTGCCAAGTATTTCCCGGGAAACTGGAGCTGGTGGTGGGGCCTCTGGAGTGGAGGTGTGGCAGCCCCTCGGGGTGTCTGAGCAGGTCTGAGGCAGGGAAGGGGCGGGGTGAGAGAGAAAAGAAGAGGCTTATGTCTGGTCTGGCCATGAAGAGGGAGGCTTCCTGGCACCTTGGGGGCAGTCCTCGACCTTGCCTAGCAGAGATGTGGCCCATGCCAGGCTCCCACATTTCAGAGCCTTCTGGCCACAGAAAATGTGTGTTCTACAGCTGGGGAGGAGGGAGAATGAGTGGGCTGAGGGTATCCTTTATTTTGAGGACTGTCCCCATACATGTAAAGGAGGCTTGAAAAGCATCCCCTGGGCAGCTGCCATATTGGAAATGACCGTTTGGCCTGAAAATATGGAGGGGCCGGCATGTCCTAGCAGAGTGCCCCAAAAGAGTCAGGTGTGTTGGTCCAGGGCAGTGGAGGGGGCAAGTGAGGTCAAGGCAGCTCTCAGAACACCTTTCCTGCAGCCTGAGGCTACCTTGGAGCTTGCTGGGCTCCCCCTGCCCTCCGCCTCCCTCCAGTGAGGTGGCCAAGGGGAGAGGAGGCTGCACAGATGAAGAAAAGTGTGAAATGGCCTCGTTGTGTCCCCTGGGCTGGGTACTGTTCTGACTGGGAGGGGCCAGGCGGGGCAGGTGACTGGGCCTCGCGCCCACCTCAACCCAACCGACTGACTCCTCGTTAGGCCTGAGCATGTTTCATCTTCAAAGAGGATGGCTGGGCTACTCACTAGCCGGAAAGAGCAGCGGCGTCATCCACCCTGTTTTACAGGGAGCGGTGGTCTGGACCCTGGCTGAGCCTTTCATCCCAGAGCTCAAAGTCTTCGCCTTTTTCCCCTCCAGTGCAGTGGGGAAACTGAGGCCAAAGTAAGGTTGGCCTGAGGTGACCCAGCCTAGAGGAAATGGCTACTTTCCCAGCCCTCAGGGCTACTGTGCAGAGTCTTTTGACACCTGCCCATCCCCCAGGCCCAGCTCACTCCTGTCTGTGAGATTTCCTGCCCTACCGCTGCAGGGTCATAGCCCTCCTCCAGCCCTGCAGATAAACACTTCTGCTAGCCTCCTCTGTCCTCACCCCCCTCCTCCTGTCTCTGCCTCAGGCCTTGGCCCAGGCTCCTCCCTCCCTCCAAGAGGCTGCGAGAGCTGCTCCCTGGTACCCAGGGCAGAATTTTCCCTCCTCACCAAACCCATGGCTTGGCAATCTTCCGTTTACTTGCCTGGCTGTCCAGCTAGACCGTGGGCACAGCTGGTATCTCTCAGCATTGCAGCATATCTTTGGCACTAGATGAACAAATGAATGAACAAATGAATGCATCCCATTTTAATTCCTCTCTCCCTCTCTGAACTCCCTTCTTCCACCCTGTTCTGGCCATCCACTCTCCTGTCCCTATTCTGGAAACCTTCGTCTCCCTGCACGCCATCTGACCAGCCTCTGAGTGGCGGCCCCCTGGGCTTCTCCTGTTGGAGACCCTGGACTTCATAAGTGTTACCTGTATGTGAGACAGTCAATCCCAGCACACTGTTTGTAATTATAAGCTAGTGAGGTTCCTGCTGAGAAAGCTGAGCACCAAAAACTTTAACAAAAGGAGCAATAAGCTCCTGCTACAGCACTGCAGGTGGTGGGGTGGGGGAGCTGGAGAGGAGGCTGTTTGTCCCAGCTTGGTCAAAGTCCTGGCTTAACAAATTATGGCAGAGTTCACATGAAATATAAGAGCTTCTTGTGATATCCTACTTAACAAGCTAATTATTAATAAAATACTTTTAGCATTTTAAAGAACTTTTGGATAAAGAAAATGGTTGCTGAGTGCCTTGGTAGCTACGGACCACCCTATGCATGGCTGGTTTGAGCTGGGCTCTCACAGAGAAGGATAAACATCTGGGTCCAAGGGATGCCTGGGAGTCTGGTACAGGCCAGCGAGGGGCAGGTGCCCTGTTTGGCAGGGCGAGGTGGGAGAGGGTGTTTTCATACGGGAGAGTCTAATGCTCAGAGTTGACCTCCATTGGGCCTATGGGTACCCACCTGTTCTGCAAGAACTATTGCCTTGACTGCCTTCCCAGGCCTCCTTTGTGACACTGGCCTTCTGGCCCTAGGCAGACAAATGTTGCATAACTTAATTCAGTTTGCCACTATCTCCTCAAGGCTACCAGCTCAGCCCTCCAACCCAGAACCAGGGGCTTCTTGGGGCATTTTGTTTTCTTTCAGCTGACTTGCATGAACCATATCCGGCCAGATGTTGTCTAGTTGTGTTCTGTCCAGTCTTGGTCGTGCCCATTCACTTCTGTTGAGATTATTGATATCTGGGTCTTCCCAAACCTGCCATTGCACGTGGTGCTCGTACTTACTACATTTTCCTGTTGTTTCTTGCTTTCCCCAGGCCTTTTGCTGTACCAGTGCTATATTGATGGGAGTTTTTAAATTCTGTTTTTCTTCTTAGGGATTTGTAAGGTACATAGAACCGGTATCTTTAAGGTAGGATGGAATTTTTTCCGTAGTTGGTTAAATGTGGGAACTGTGAGGAAATTAACTGTCTCCCATTGTCCAAAAAGAAAACTAACGACCACAAAGGAGGAAGTCCCAGAGTTGAGGCAGAATTGTGGTAACAGGGGCCTGGTTCCTAGCTCCTGATGTGCCTCCTGGCCGTGTCCTCCTCCCAGCCTGGTGATATCCTTAAGGGTCAACAACCTGGGGCTCTCTGAGGGTTCTGCTTCTGTGACTTCCTTGGAGGGGGCACCACCCAGACCAAGCTGGAACTGACTGCAGGTGGCTCCAGCCAGCTTCCTGGAGGGGCTGTGTGCTCCTGCGGCCTGGGGTTGGCTTGTTTATTGGAGAAGCATATTTACAAAGAGTTGATTTTTACTGGGGGAGGGTGTGTGCTCCTGAGCTTGGGTGATGCTCTGGGGTGAACTCAGCCCAACTGCGCCGACTCGACTGAGGTCACTCTGAGTGTCTCTGCCCATCTTCTGCGGAGGGCATGGCCAGCCATGTGTTTGTGTGCAGGTGCGTCGTGTGCATCTCCCGTATATCCTGTGGTGTGCGGAGTGTGTTGATAGAGTTGGCAAACAAGTTTTACTGCTTTTGCTCCGGCTGCTGGGATTGCAGCTGTCTGTCCCTGTGCCCGGTAACCCTGCCAAGAGCTGCCTTAATGGAGGTTGTGGTAGGGAGAGGCCTGGCTCCTGCTGCAGGGGCAGGGCGGGGAGGGTGCCACTGCCTTCTGGCAGCTCTGCACTTGCCTCTGCCCTCTCTCACTGGCACGCTTATCTCCAGCAAGGGACATGTGTTCCCTCGGGCACAGGCCACTTGCCCTGTGTCACCCTGAAAGGCAGGTGGAGCCTCTGCTCCCCACCACCATGCTCTCTGCCTTCTCATCTGGAAGTGCCTGTGCTTTCCTTCCTGCCCCTCAGGGAGAACGCTGCCCCACGGTCAGGCCAAGGTCAGAAGGGTTAGGAGGAAACTGGTTTTGAGGAACAGAAAATGGATATTCAGGACTCTTGAGTTCCTCCCCTGGCTAGTCTGTGGTTGGTTCTGTCTTACTTCCTCCAATGAGGAGCATCAGACATCTTTTAAAATAAACCTCAAAGAGGTGGCCTCTGAAAAGACATTCTATAATAGAGACATCTGCACCCGAATGTTTATGGCAGCACAATTCACTATTGCAAGGATGTGGAAACAACCCAGTGCCCGTCAATTCATGAGTGGATTATTAAAATTTGGTATATGTATACAATGGAATATCACTCAATTGTAAGAAACGACAGTGATCTAGCACCTAAATAGAGTTTGAGCCCATTATCCGAAGTGAGGTATCACAAGATTGGAAGAATGGGCTCCACTTGTACTCGCCATCAAATTGGTACTAACTGATTAACACTGTGGTGCT